ATGTTCAGAAGAGTTCCACGTCCAACACCCTTGTGATGGATACTCCGGACGTGAATTGGCATGCTTATCGAACTCGCTGCCTCAGCTACTACCGTTATAGTATCATGGGTGATCTAGTACACTTACCACACACTCCCTTGTCACCTACCTTCTTTTTTTTGAGCGGCTGTATCTGGTATCGTCCTCTTACCATAAGCTAGCCATGAGGTATCGTGAGAAACTTGACTATACATACGGAGTTATACTCATATGGCGAGAGAACTGACATAAATAATGGTTTAGACAGGGAGGCCAATGCTGTAGATAGACTACCTAATAGATACTGAAAGATAATTGCCAAGATACTCTACAAGTATATCGAGACTACTGCTAACCTTGTGACCTTTATATTATACATAGCCTTCCCTTTCACTATCTCGAAGTGCTATCCTTCCCTCTCCAATCTCCAATCTTCCTCGTCACCAAAACACTTTCCTCTACCCATCCTGATCCCCACTCGGCAGAGTCTGAGATTCCTGTCGCATTATTATATGCCATAACGTCCATAGACTATAATGGCCATTCAGAAATACAACAGTGGCAATACAAACCTGCGTGTGATATAAACCACAGGAATCGTCACCAGCCATATCATGAAGAATACTAAGAATCTTGCGTAAGCTTCTCCAATAACAGGAACCTCTCTCTTTAGTAATTCTAGAAGAAGAGGGGAAAACCTAGAGCCAAAGGCCAGTAAGTAAATATCCAGAAGAAGGTAACCACAGACAATACTAATACACCAGACAGTCACTGCCATCCGGTAGTTGAACAGGCGGTCAAAAACTTTCACCCAGGGGTAAGTAGGTGAATTATGCCCGTCACGAGTAGTAGAGTTATGGCTAGGAATCATCCTGAGATGGGTAGCTTCAGAATTCTCCAAAGAGGTATCAGATGCCTTCATAAAGTCGCTACCATCACGGGAGTTGTCTTTGTACTCCTGGCGGTCTTGGCTGTTCTGTAACAGAGCCGCGGGACGTGTTGTTTGTGATTCTGTTAGTTGAGGTCCCGGGTGCTGGTACCCGAAACAAATGATAAGCGTGTAAGTAATAATAACGATAGATATAAGAGGAATGTCAAAATATCCCCAATCTGATCTTCCAAGAGATAGCATTGTCCTATGTAGTAGTGGTCCATGAAGTTGGCGAATAACGAGACTAGATATGAAGAGAAAGAGTAACAGAGAAAGCCTTTGAGGGACTCTATCGCTGATCTTTATAGCGAAGAGTGTGGTATAGTATACCCCGGGCATAGCAATCATCCAGAAGATTACTTCCGGAAGAAACTTAGACATGATGCTCATAGTGCTTCAGACGTAGGTTGATTGAAATGTTGACAATGGGTTGTGATGGTTGTGCTGGTCAGGAAATAGTGTGTCGTGATAGTTGTCTTAGTCGGTAACTAGTAAGTAGTATCTGTTGCAAAATGCTGTTGATGACTGCGGGAAATGGAGAAGGACGCTGAGCAAGGTATTTATATAAATCCTAGTGTACGGCGGACACTGCGTCTGATATACTATTCACGACAAGGAGTGACTGCTTAGACTCGATAACGATGAACAGATGGCTATTCAAGCAGACAAGCAAACGAACTCAGACTCGTTGAGTGTACAATCATGCACAGAGCTTTCCATTGAGCAGCTGGTTGCGCAGAGAAAGTTCCTTTGGCAAACCGTCTCAAGCATGAAGATGTCCTAGTTGCATTAACATAAAAAGCTCTGTGTAAACCGCAAAACGTACTTGAACATGATAGCAATACCACGTGTTCAACTATCTGCTACAATGTCGCTATTGCACGGCTGTGCAAGCCGCTGACAGAAGACCTTGAGAAATCGGGCCAATACATTGTTCCTCTGGGGGTGGCAGGCGGGTTTCACAATCCACTCTCGATGCTTGCTGACCAGCCCGGACTGGTGCGCAACCCTGCTGGTGGCTTGGCTGCGCTGACTATTCAGCGCGATGAATGGCAAAGACGCCAAGTCGGGGCTATGTATAGAGAATGAAGTACCACGGTCATTGTTCCTGCGACAGGGTAGTTGAGTGTCTGAATCGTCATATGCACAGATAAATCCAAAGGATCAAGGAACGGCAGTGTCTGCGTGAGTCTTCGTTGCCCAGGCCAATAGATTACTTATTGGAGGGAAGATACTCATTATCTGAAGTCTTTTACGACGGCACTATCGACAAAGGAAACATCGAGATGGACAATGGAATGGTGGTGCCAGGCTAAGCTGATAGGGGTAAGAAGGTGTTCACTCTACTGATCAGTAATCCACAGAATTAATGGTTGGGTCGATTTGCGCCGGAGCCCACTTGAACAGACAAATATAATAAACAATAAAGGACCTCTTCTAGCGCGGACATGGTTCCAACGGGTAAGTGGGCAATTGCCGCTAGATAAACCCAAGGGATGCTTGTACGCTCCCTATCAGATAGACTTGCAATGAAGTGATAGCTCTTTAAATATTATACGGAAACGCAGTCCACTGCATAAGGTAAATTACATGTGTTAGACGTCAAACACATGATACTAAAACGAGATTGACAGGCCCAAAGACTGAGTTCCCGCTTCTGAACCCAAAGGTAGCTAGTGTCTTCTCGCCAACTGGAATGTTCTCCAGATAAATGCCCCAGGCGAAGGCATATTCTTCGCCGGCACCAGCGAAATACCAATGATGTAAGCTGACGACGGCCAGAGAAATCTATACCACGGCAGGTCCTTGTACCATATTGATCCCCGTCAACATACTTAGTAACCCTTGCGTCAAGGTGCCGAACAGGGAATGGCATATTCACTCTAATCCCGTGTCAGAAAGATCATGGTCGCAGCTTACCTATAGTCCATACTGTATCGATGTTCTCTTGTCAAATCGTTCTTCAGTAGAGCACGTACTTTACGTGTAGAGAATGACACTATTCATCATTTTATTCTAACACGGGAGATAATGCTGCTCAATCTCTTCCTGACTGTCTACAACCTTGTCGACTCTCATGGAAGATGGTGCAGTACGGAGACGCTGGTGTGAGGTACGATCTGGGCAATACCATCAGGCGCTAGTCTATCAATGACGAACCATCCAATCAGACCCCGATGCAGGAGGGGCTACAGGTTATATACTACGAGGTTATTTTATCGTCCCTGACCTTGGAAGGAGCAGTAACAGGGTTGTGGTGCGATGTAGGTTCGAGGAGTCGGGAAGCAATATCCTGCGACATACCCCAGTTATCTACACTAAATCTTAGCCTACACAGGATAGACTATCCTGTTGAGTTACGGACCGTGATTACGCTCATTGAGCTTCTGAGCATGGTGCACTTGATGAGACCAGTCGCTCCAGTCTCCAGACAGTAGCTCTGCTCCATGACGTCTAGCTACACCAACTTACCCTAACTATACGTTTCTCGGATCCGCATTGATGTTTCTCCCCTTTCCTCGTCAGTTTCCAAGCCAAGTTCCAGCTTAGTTCACCTCTTCGAGAACATGCGGCCTGTAATGAAGCCATTGTCCTTCACTCTCGATTTGCCGATCTGCTGTCCGACCGAACATAGTTCTTCGCTTCTTTTGGGGATAACTCCGGAACAACGCTAAATCGACAACGTTAGCATGGAAAAACAGCGTATGTCCTCTATCAAGTGATACGTGGAGGGGCATTATCGCGACAACAATCTCGTTCATTCATGGCGAAGTCCGGCAACTCGTCAGATGCCTGTGAGGTTTGGGCAATTCAGCTTTTCGCACAGAGTGGGGGCACTTTGATGTTTTGATAAACTCCGAAGCGCTGAACGGGGGAACATGAACGGGGTGCGCATGGCTCTCGATGATTATGCAACTCGCATCGTTCCGTGGTCATCAAGTTGATGGCATGAAAGACTACACAGGTTTGATCCGACTGGCGTAGCAAAAGCGATGTTCAGCGAGAGCATTAGTGTATCCAGTTGTTGGTATTAGATACCTATCACTCATCAAGAGGTAGTCCCAGACGAGCCTGCTATTCGAAGAAAGCCCCCTCAAGCCGTGTAGAAGTCTCCCAAAAGCAGTGCAATCTGCTTGGAGCGACTGGTTTCGTAGTGGTACGATCTCAGGTCATCAAATCCTTTATCGTCTCACTCTGTATCGTAGAGAAAACGAACAGCGCATCTGTTCCCATAGTTCCAGAACAGGCCCATGAATGACCGCCCCAAAATATGTGTTGTTACTACCGTGTCGACAAGATGTTTTGGCTTGTCGGCCTGATGCCTCTGCTAAAAAGGTAATAATGAGACAAACTTTCTACAAACATAGTAGTTTTTCTCGTGAATCTCTGAATTGATGCGGGGCAATCCGCAACTCGCGTGCAAAGGCTTGTTTGTTGATGGGCTTTGATTGGCAAACTCATTACGGACTAAGTTTGAATGAGAGTAATGTATTTAATTGGAGTGCTCTTTCAAAGCTATTTTATGACTTGTGCACATTTTATGTGATTCTTAGCTATTGAACCAGAAGGTTGTCGTTTCAGAGTCTGATCAAAGTTCTTATCAGTTTAGTGGGCGATGTCCTGAACCAAGTGGTGCGGGGGTTACCTGATGGGGCTGGCCGCTGGAGGCCCTAGTAAGCTGCGGTGCGTTGAACTTTGGCAACACGACCAGCAAGCGACGTAGCCAAGTAGGATAAAAAATGTAAAGATTTGGCAAACAAGCCTCCGTTGGAAGAGTGCCAGCAAACTTTATTATGGAGCATGCATGGATGGTTGTTTTGTCGCTCTTGATGCCTGAAAGCATCACACACAGGTTGTAGCTTGTAGCTTTGTTACACAAGTGTCGGTCGCGGCAAGCAACCAAAGAAAATCTCTGCCTTCCAGCCCCCGTAAGCGCAGTCATCTCCATCGATCTCTGGTCTCCTACACTGGCTTACCGTGAAAATATTGTAAGACCCGAAACATCTCTCTAGTGTCTGCGTTGATCCTGCTCTGATCAGAGTCCTCCAGCATGTTTGATGATCCCGTCCTAGATGTGCCTCACGTCAAGGCCGAAGACGAAAACGACACCAACCCTACCATCATTTCCCAAGATGCCGATGACGACATCAACGAAGAAATGCTCTCACGGCCACTGGAGCCGGGAACCAAAGCTGCTCGATACCGCGGCCCGCCTCGAGGAGGCAAGATGCTATCATTCCGTCCAGGAGTCTTCCGTAGAAGTCACCGACCTTCTCTAAAATGCAACAGCAGAGAGCTTCAGCAGCAAGAAGAAGCTGAAAATGGAGCTTTCACCAGATGGCGCACAAACCCTGATGAGATCGATGACTCCAGCGTTCCCGCTATCCGACTCACCGAAGCCTCAGACTCGGCTCTGTCATTCGAGGCCTTCCATGCTACTTTCATCGAGCCAAACAAGGAGACCATTGAACAGATACTGGTGGAGTACAACAAGAGCGTTCACATCCTTGATCAGCGCAACGACGTTGAGTTCTTTGAAAAGTACCATGAACAGTACACCAGCGGAGGTCTTGACAATTGTGAAAGACCTCGCAGCGAATTCAACCTCCGACCTGACAAATCGCTCGATATCCATATTGGCTTCCTGTGTGGCAAGTTAAACCACACGCCACTAGTCTCATCAACTGACAGACCCCAGCCTCGAAACAAGCAACCCACGACTGCAAAGCGCAGAAGTGCCCGCGCCTCTACGCCGCCTGCTTCATCGCATGGCACGGCCCATCCTTCCGATACTTCTTCACCAAAGCCGCAGATACAGACGAAAACCCCAGCGACGTCTTCTTCTCGATGCCCCGCAACGCGCGTATCACTGTCAAGTTCTGGGAGGACCGGGTTCGAGACGTAGCGAGGGACACGATGCGCGAGACGGTGCGAGAGAATAACTGGAACTGGGCGGCTGTACTGGCTTCGGCGGTTCTCAAGAGAGGATATGCGCCGCCGGAGTATGATCTGGGAGGTTTTGTGAACTGGAAGGAGTTTGCGGAGAAGAATTGTCTTGGCAGTCTCTTCTATGGAGTTATATCGTCTGATGAGTCTGAAGAGTCGTCCTCCCTGGGGGATGAATGAAGGGAGGCAGGACCAAGCCTGGATCATGTTATTTGCACCCTTTGTCCTCAAAATAATGAACTGGGTTTATTTTCGTATTGCACATGGATAACAGCAAGATAACCAATAACTGGCCTTTACAGTTGGCGAAACGACTTTCCGAGCCTAAGAGTTCTTCTCAGACAAGTCGTAGGAGGTCGAGAGGCGTGGATCTGTATCCTGCCCAAGGTTGTTCAATATGTAGCGACAGTTGTTCACATTCAGGCTGGCCACAAGAAGACTCATAACTATTTTATTTCTTCAACCTAGCAATCGCAGTCATCTGCCCCTAAGGATAAAAGTCATTGTCAGACTCGACTGGATTAGGAAAAGCAATGGCGTTTATATCTACGAGAAATAAACGATGCAAATAACCGATGCGCTCGGCAATGGGTAAATCTAACTCAATGTCTGGGGGTCAGCCTCGTACAAACTGACTCCATCACTGGCTCCGATCTCCTCCAGTAGCGCGCTGCCTCTCCATCCCGTTCCCAAATAGTCAGAGACCGGGTCTCGTCACAGATGGCTTCTTCTCAGCGCAATCAACAGTCTTTATGGTATCGAGAAACATATACCATTCTTAACGCCAAAAGCTCTTATCCGCCATCAGGGTGGATAAGAGTGACTAATTCCCTGCTAGACCCATTTTCATGTCCGCACCCGAGTGCCCATTTCTCGAGAATGAACTTAATCAGAATCTCCTATGCGTAATTGATAGAAATGCACTCTACATATCTCCTGCAGATCCTCTACAGTGTAGAGTTCCCTCATTAAAGCTTCTCAAAAAGTCCAGCGTCAATTTTCTAAATCTCGAGAGCTACCCTATAGCTACGGAATGCACTTAGTAGTCTGGCTGTTGTCTATCCACCCACAATATTCTCCTAAGAGCGCTGGTGGGTCTAGCCACCATACGCCGGCTCCACCATTGGTGCGCTTGAGAATAGTACGGCAAATACTTTTAGGTCTATCGACCCACCCGTGGAGCCAATAGGGACTGCTGACACCTCACAATAACCTCTGTTGCATGGTTCTTCGTAAATCAGCTCAAAGAATTAATCCGACACGACGTGTCTCGCGCCAAATAAACGACAGATTTTACATGAGCAACAATAGTCTCTTCCTTCTAGCATCAATTGCACCAAAGGTGATTCAAAATTCCAAGTTGAGTTAGCTTGGGAGATTGAACTGGACATGTTCCGTCACGGCATTGAAAAGGCTCTGAATAAACAATCGATCCTGACCTCATGCGAAAGAGTTTTCTTACATACAAGATAAGATGTGAACGGAAGACCATATTGTTTCCTGCTATCTTAAGCCTTAAGAAACCATAGAGAAATACTATAGTAAGCCTGGATGGCTTTTTATGTTTGGCGTAACTATTTTATATTTGGTGTCTAGAAGTCGTCGAGCCGTCGCAACCAGCTTCAGATGCAGTTTTCAATCGCGCACGCGCCGATATACTAATCGAATTAGGTTTGGAGACAGCCGAAGCGGTAGCGAAATTCTCTCCGAAGCCCTTAAGAGATCTCTTGAGGCCTGGTTCAATAGTCATACATATGTATTCTGGTCTAGGCTTTTTGTCGGGCCGCTTCTTTTTCGAGGAATTGTCCCATGACCTCTGCCACTGTCTTGTCCGAAAAAGTGATATTGCCTATCGTGATATCCACTATGATAATATACCGCTTACGAAGATGCCACTAGGTGCGACACTCACTCAATCAATCAGTAACAACCATCAACAAGTCACTGTTCACCACCAACGCCAAAGCTAATGTTCAACATACTCTCTTTCCACCAAGATAGTCAGCATGTAATAAGGGTGGCAACGAAAATTAAAGACACGTATAACGCAAAAGAACGTCCTCTGAACCCATAGCCCATGGATCAGCATGTGCTAAGTCCATCCTTTCCTCTGACTCTACGTTCTGTTCTGATTCGCTCCCCTCTTCTGATTCGCTCTCTTCTTCTGATTCGCTCTCCTCTTCTGATTCGCTCTCCCTCTTCTGTAGTTGACGACGGTAACGACTCTCCTCGTCTTCCGTGTAACAGTGGTAACAGTTATCCTCTGGCATGTGGATCTCATCACAGCAATATCGCCCTGGGGTATGGGGGCTGTCACAATGGGGACACCCTATGCCACTCGGTCTCGGCCCAGAAAAGTAATAACCGCATTCCGCACAACTTGAATCATAAGTATGTGTATCCTCATACGTCCATTCCCTCGATTGCCGTAACAATGCTGCTGTGGCATGATGCACTTGTCGCTCTGCAAGACGAATAGCTCGAATGAACTGGAATCTCCCAGGCCCTGTTGTAAGTGCACCGTGGTGAAGTAAAAGTTCAACCATATCAAGTCGCCCGCGCTCAGCAGCTCCTTCCAAGGCTGTTCTGCCATAGAGTCGGCTACCCAGTGCATTGACTCGCGCACCAGCATCTAGAAGCTGCTTCGCTAATCCAATATGTCCCTCAATGGCGGCACATTGTAAAGGTGTTACGCCTTGATAAAAACATGGTGCAGCATTAACATTTGCTCCAGACCGCAGAAGGCTCTCAGCGATAGTCCAATGGCCAAGTCCAATAGCAAGTTGGATAGGTGAGCGGCCTGTGTCGCCAAACACATCATTATTGTTGATGTCCGCTCCTGACTTAATAAGCCAGACGACAGCTTCCTCCATTTCATGATGTATTGCATATTCCAGGAAGCGCGAAAGTGTCAATAGCGGTAGTTGAAGATTCCCTGCCTGCAGGTGGTGATCCATGAGCGCCTTCAAACAATCATGAGTAGCCATACTAAAAGCCCTAGCCCATGTGATATCGTCAGGCTGATAACCGTGACTAAAAAGCTCTAAAACCCCAACTGTTCCTTGGTAGGAGGCGGCTAAAGCCAGTGGACTGCCCGTAGAAAGACCACGATGGCCATCAAAATTATCATAGTCGCTCGGGCGTTGATGCCAGAAAATGTGTGATAAAGTGATGATAAGACCTGTACGGGAAGAGAATAAGAAGGGACAATCCAAGGCGACAAACGGAAGCAGTGCGGTCTCTGGTTTATGAAGCTGCGCTATAAGCCTTCGTACCAAAGGAAGATTACCTAACATTGCGGCCAAGCCAACTGCGGTTCCTTCTAAAATATCGTGAGGTGCTTGAAGAGGTCTATTGCTGAGAAGAAAGTCAATAACCCAGTGATTCTCAACTAGCACAGCAGAGCATAAGCTTGATGAGGTGTAGTATGTTGGCAATTCTGAAAATGTACTTTGGAGCTGGGCATCATGTTGTGCGATGATCGCAGCGTCAATATCATACAGACTGTTCTCGTTGGTGTTGAAAACGCTTGCCCAGTATTTCAAGAGAAGTGTTCTGAGACTCGGGTCACATGCGCCGCACTTCCGTTCAATGTTGCACACATGCTGAGGTACGAGGGCTTCCAACACTTCATAAGTCGATGTTTGCAGTTTAGCGCCCCTTTCTAGAAGCAGCTGAACACAGTTTGTTCTTTGCCTTTGTATAGCCAACATAAGCGCGCTGTGTCCGTTTGAGTTTCGTACGTTCGGGTCGCCTCCTGCATCTAGAGCAGCAGAAAGTACGTCGTCATATCCTGCACTTGACAATTGAAGAATTGCTTGTGTAGGCAAAAAGGCTCCCGATCTAACAAGGAGTTTGATCCCGTCATTCCAGTCATCTCCGGGTGATATATGGTCGAGAAATAGCTCCAAAACAGTCGGCGATTGGTGTTCATAAATCCGAGAAAGGACATCCTTTCCCATCAAGAACTTACATGCACTTATATCAGCTTGTTTTGTCGTAAGATTGACGTCAAGCCCATTTACCAGGAGGTAATGTAATATGTCAAGTTGGTCTGTCAGTATCGGAATAAGCAGAAGAGTGGCGTTGGATTGACGATAGAGCTTGAACAGTAACTGGTAAGCCTCCTGATGGCCTTGTTTGATAGCAACTTCCAAAGGTGTTACGCCGCGTGCATTGCGCCTGAAACCGACAGGGTTGATTTCATGAAGAAACGATATCACATCAGCGTTCCCGGCACATGCTGCTGAAATGAAGACGTCGGCCGTGATAAACGACGCCGCTTCGATGCCCTGATATTGGTTGTGGAGAAGGTGGAAAATCTTCCTTGTTGCTTGAATGCTGACTGCAGCAGCCGTGCTCAAAGCTGTCTCCTCTTTGACGACGTTAGAATTCACAGGTTGCAACCTGTCTGTCAGCGTTTCGATAGGAAGCGAAAGATTGGCGCCAGTATTTAATGCTTGTTCAAAAAGGCGCTCATCCTGCAGTAGAATAGCCGTATGGAGGATTTCTTCTGCAGTTAAAACCTTATAGTGGCGCAACAAGAGCCTGATGATGTGCGTTCCTTCGTTATCACAGATTCGATCAGGCAGTACGAAGCTTATGATCGACCCAGGATTAGAACTCCTCCAAGTCCCACCGACAACAGCACCAGCCTTCAGAAGCGGTTCAATTATCTCTACCCGTCTAGACAAAATCGCAAGCTCCAGTGCCGTCTTTATGGAGCCGGCCTGTATGTGTTCGATGTTAGGATCTTGGCCTAAAGAAAGGAGCCATCTTAGTAGAGTCTTGGGACTCTCCATATTGACCATTGTCTTGTCATAGCAGATGGACCAGATGAGGTCTCTGAAAAGATTATCCATGAATGCTCTGATGGTCAGATCTTGTTGTCGGGCTCTCTTGAGACTCCCTACGGCACCCAAAAGTCCGGTCTTGAAGACGATGGTATAAAGATTCTCAAAGTCATCAGCCTCCCATCTTCGGACCATGTTGTTCGAGACTTTATAGAAAATGAGCTTCAGGCACTCTGGCATCATGACATTTGTGGTGCCGGTCGCGATGATTTGAGCAGTCTGTAGGTGCTCGCCAGGGAAGTATTCGGGCAGTTCCATGACTAAGCTCATAGCCAACTTCGGGATCAGGTGGCTTAGTTGACTTCGGTCAAAGTTATGGGCAACCAGAAATATCTTCGACGTAAGAAGATCTATCACTGGCCCTCTTAGCTCACTCTTCAACCTGTGTAGCTGAGTATAACTCAACCCTAGTCAAAATAAAGTCAGGGGAAGGCCCTTTATTTTTTATTTTTTTTTTAAAGCTGATTAGACTTACATTCTTGCAACTTGGAACGGAACTTGAACCATGGCAGCGTCTTTGGCCATTCAATCTCGTTAAGGTATGGCTGGGGCGTACAAATGATTATCTGATCCGATGATGTAGTAGACTGAACACGTCTTCCTAGAAAATATCATTTTCGGGATTTCAACTTGGTAACCAAAATCGTGGTGTACTTACCAGAGAGGTTTTGGGCCGGGATACTTATGTCGCGGTGGCGATTTGTTTCTTTTTCGATGGTGGATTGCTTTACCCGCTTACCGCATAAGATAACGTCGCTCTCTTTGCCTTCCCGCTTCCTTTTATTGATCGTTTGGTCAATATACCTCCATGAGTCACGATCGATGTTTTTTGAAATATTCCACTTTTTCAATCGGTACTCAAGTTGGGATTTCCTAACAGCCAGTTAGCACAAGTAATACAGGAGGGCATTGAAATACAACGTGACAGTGAAATTTTCAAAGATACCCAACCAGTAGATGAGATCGTTGAGAGACATATCTGAGAGGTATAAGTTCCGAATCAATTGGTAGTTCCGCAGCCATTCTGCCTCTATGGCATCCTTTTTCCGAACTTGGTCCATGGCGAAATTGTAAGTCAGAAGGATAAAAAGTAGGGGTGGACGGAATGGAAGCGATTATCGACAAGCAAGCGAGAATGCTGAGCTGGGATGGGGGAAACACTGAGGGAGATGCCAGATTTAAATAATCGAATTCAAGAGCCTCACATTTAGTCATCAGGGAAATCACAATGGCCCCTGTCGCTTTCTTGTGCACAAGTGATGCGCTTAGGCACCAAATGCTCAGCTAGCTCATCCATTAGTGGCTGAAAACCCAGAATCCGAAACAATACAGCAAGCCACTTTCCTACACCGATGCCTTTGGCCAATGATCCAGATTCTGAAAACGATAAATATGGAGACATCGCTTATCTTGACCAATAAGCCAAAATCTGAATGCATATGCAGGTCTTGCCATTATCTTGATTGACCAATCAGTCAGAATCTCAAAACGCCGAAATGGTACTAGTGTTCTTTTCGGCCAATAGGCCAGAATCTGACAGATGCCTGGCTCACCAGACACCAGAGAGATCTAATGCACAGCCTACCACGGACTTTTCAAACTTTCAGAGGAAATTTTATTTACCATAAATCGCGGGATCCGTCCCTCTCAACACGTTTCAAGAAGTCTTGGTATATAAACTTCTCGAGTCCCCAGCCTCGGCGAAGGCATTCTGCATGCCCCAGCATTTACCAACAAATGCTCCAATACTTAAGTAATTATGAATGTGGAATCAATCATCGCCCTCACCACGTTGCTTGTCGCTCTTCCTCCAACTATCTATATTTTATATAGATGGTACAAGCAAGCAAGAGGAGAAACTTTATGTAAGAATCATTACGAGTATAATTAACTCAGGCCCCGGAGCTAACTTGGAATCACAGTGTCTGCCTCATCCCGTTTCGATGGACCTCCGAGAGTCGCGAGTTGTCTACGGTTTCTCTACACTCGTGTAGATACAAACACTGTCATGTACATGCAAATGGAGGAGGGAATTATATACGATCAGAGCCAGGCGTTTAGACTTTTAGATTAGATTGGATTCTCTAGAAAGGGAACTCTAAAAACTATGTAAGACACAGTATAAGAGGACTGGGTAAAATACAACTTCAGAACGAGATAATCAACAACAGTAACTACCTTATTTTGCCTAAGGCGAATGACTGGTCCGATGGCTTGACTCTCTACCCTTGGGTTTCATTGTGGTCCCATGAAGGAGATATAACTCGCTGCGGTTAAATTAAGTCTGACTGGAGTTAGGTGAATGTTTCTTTGGTGATCATTCCGGGATCTGCATACCGAAAGGCACCTACGCCGGTGGTCATAAGCAGGACAGGATGTTCTATGTCTTTCGCATACCTATCCATATTGGCTTGTCGCTGTGATAGTACCTGCTCTCCATCGATTCTCCGAAACGGAAATTTGCTTTAACAAAGATGGACTGACACTAGGTCGAGAGTTCTCGTCCAGCACGAGAGTAAGATGCTGAAATTCTTATCGTGATTTTCCCGTATTCCATCGCTGGACTTACCCTTCGGTTCCACTGGGGTTCTTTAGGTCTTGTACGAGGGCATTCATTTCGGACGAATGTCCTTCTAGATTTAAATGGCCACTGTCAAGTTCTCCATGGAATTATGGGCTACCAGTGCAATGTGACGCTTCTACTGTGCTTTTGCAGAGTGGACATGGTCTTGTGAGGAAACAGTCCCCCCAAAAGACTCCTCCAGCCTCGTCGTTTTGTAGGTAACACCCTTGGCAGAGCTTGTGCCCGCATGATCATTCCAGAAACCTTTTGACAATGACACGGGACAGGCCACCGACATTATTACGGAAATCTTCCGATGATAAGACATGAGCCGAAACAAACAACGAATCTTTTCCCTCTTGCGACTCATTCTTAGTCATTTTCTCGCGTTATATTTGTGAGTTTCCGCCAAAAGAATAGACGCCTCAAATTGCGATTTGGAGGTCAGTAAGGACAACAGATGCCCAGTGTTGGGAGGGTTTGTGCTGCCAACTGATGTAGTTGCGTGCAAACAGCCGGAAGGTGACGGTAAAAGATATAGAAAAGAGTTCTGTGCATATACCTGATAAGCTATTGCAAGCTTTGTCTGGCCCACGCGGAGTATTGCGAAGTTATCAAAGGAAGTCCGGTTGATGGCGGCCTTCACGGCAGCCCTCGGAGATCCGACGGCCGGGATGCCTGGACACTCAAACCAATGTCCAAGGTTAGAAATTTCCAGACCGGAAGCTCCGATGGTAGATACTGCATAATTTCATGATACTACGGTGGTTCAGTTCTGCGCGACCATATGGCCTCTGAGCCACATTTCTTGAATATCTGGCTCACACCTTGGACGTTATTAATGCATTAGTGAATGTCGGGACGAATAACTAAGCCCAGAGAGACGGTGGACATACCATTGAGACACCCACATTGCAAAACTCCTTTCGATAAAATAATGGACAAGATGTGACAGACGGCTTCCAATGGCGAGTGTCGATTTCAGCTGCTCCAGTTTTGAGGGGTTTGAGCCACTATCAACGATAACAGGAGGGCATTCACAACCACAACCACAACCTTTGCAAGCCGGTTTCACAAGAGTCCCTCCCCTGTTGCAAGAATATTTTGACATCTTGACCACATTTCATTGTCTCCAAGTCGTTTCCAGCCTATCAAGTAGCATCGCTCCATACACTCACATTGAGGAGCATGGCAAGCATCTTGTCAATCGGATCATCTTTAGCCAATACAGGAAGTCATAGGCGAAAGCTCTAACGCTTAGATGAATTCCAGGCCGCGCTCCCCAATTGAGTGGGGTCCCGATTGACTGACCTCCGAAGGCCGGGATTCCGACTTTCTTTTTCAGGTTCCCGGCTGAGGAGGCAAGTTAGATTGAAATCGGGCAGAAGTGACCTGAGATCGCCAACAGAATTAGTGTTAGATATTGGAGCACTGCAGACAATCTCCCGTACGTCGTGGATGCTTCTTGGTATTCAGGTAAATCGGCTTTCCACTACACCGGAAATCAGCGTGGCGAGATTCCGCACCGCGGAATTCAGCAAACCCGGCCCTCCAGATCCCTCAAGGCTGATTAATCACAATTACGATCATGATACAGGCTGAGGTTTACATAAAGATAGTCGACTTCTAGCGATATGGATGATGTGATGTTTAGGTTCTCGTCGAGGGGATTCAGAGAGACTTATCAATGGCTTTCATTTCTAGAAGAGAGGCAATAGAGTGGTAGAGGAGTCTACTATATTTGAGCAGCAGTGGAAGCTTCACGCCTCTAAAGATACCCTTGAGAGTCCATTCTCGGAAATGCGACATGGCGCTTTTACATTTCGCTGAAACCTAGCTATGCTCCAAATGCTGGCCGGCAAGACTCAATATCTTTGTTTCAGGTCTGCCGACCTACAAAGTCATTTATATCTCCATTTCGCCCCTCTGGACCTTGGCTTCGTCATCGACGAAAACCCTCGTTCATTCCGGATACTTCACATCGATCGAAAACCCTTTGACCCTCTTCAGCTTGCTCTGCATAGGCAAAGCAATCGAGCCAGGATTATCACGGCATCTCACGCTCTCGCACCACTGCGCCTCGGGAGTCCAGTCCTCCTGCCGCTCACCAAAGCCGAAATGCTCCCAATCCTTAAAGAGCTGATCCTTGAAGTAACACTGTGCAAGGTCGATGATGAAGGGCTGATGGGAGTCTGCTTCGACGATAACGTTGCGAGGACAGCTGTCTTTGAGGAGGATATGGCACTGGTTGATCTCGTAGGCTCCTTGAATCACACGTTGGACGATAGAAGTCCATTCTTGCTGCGAGGTGGGCGAGGTGGGCGTTTCGGGTAGATCATACAAGCTACCTCCGGGAATAAACTGGAGAAGAATACCGCTCACACTGTAGTATTTGCTCATGTCACCGCTGGCGCTGGAAGACGAGAGTCGCACAGAGGCATACAAACGGGGAACTAAAACATCCTGGAGATCTTTGAGACGCCTGTAGGCCTCGACCTCAGTCTCAAAGTGCGAGCGCGCCTCCTACCACAAAGCCGCCTCAAACTTGGCTTGTCCCTCAGGCTCCAGTCTCCAATCCGCCACCGGGTTGGGGACCAGCTCCGTGCGGCGATCCTCTTCAATCTCGTTGATGAAAGGACCCATATCGCCACGGTCGACGAAAGAGCAAAAAGCGGCCTCGTCTTGAACACGGCACGGAAGATGTTTGCCCTTCTTGCTCCTACGAAGCGATGAGCCAAACCGTCGGTCGTAGAGCTTGAGGATTGCCCTGTTTGGCGCGTCGGCGTGGGCGCTGGGGGTTTTGATTTTGACGAGCATGACGGGGGACATGGTAGCGGTTATGACTTGCGCGACTTGGGCGGTGATAGTTTCGGTGGATGAGAGGGCATCATGATGGCTTTCGATTATGTCCAAGTTGAGAGTGTCGTGTTGCTGGTATTCGGGAACGAGATCGTTTGGCTCCATCGCGGTCAACTTTGGCTAGGCTGGTTGAGGAGTAACTCTCGAAAGGGACGGAAGAAATGAGAGAAATGAACTTTTCGACGCAATAAGGGCGTTGGTGAGCATGAGTATGATGATAATGGGAGCAAAGAGTTCGCCGATACCTGTCATGCCTGAGTTGCGCGGTTGTTAAGTGGGTGTTTGGAGTATGTTTAAAGAGAGCTTGGCTTGTGGTGGAGAAGGGAGGCACTAGTGCAGTGTAGCCCTGAAGGGTTCTTTGTCACAAAGTGCACTGAACTCACCTCGCTGTCTTTGTATGCGTCTATGTCAACAGTTCGGCGTGCACACTCCAGAATGAACAGTGAACAGCTATAAAAGGGATTTATTAGCAATTGTACTATATAATAAATATAGTAAGCGTAGTACCCTTTTAGATAGGGTAAAGGAAAAAGGTTAATATAGCTACTAAAGGGTAAGCAGTATTTATATTACTTAATTAAGGTAATAATTACACTACTTAGGTAAATAAACTTTTATTAATTTTAACTTTTAAGATTTAGGCTTACTATAAAGGCCTTAGTATTTAAGTTATTATTTAAAAAGTTAAAACCTTAATAGCCTTATATAAGGCTAATAGTAATTAAAATATATATATATATATATATTAAAGTATTTTATTAAATAATTATAGTGCTATCT